TGAAGTTCTGGAAGCATAATGATGTTACAGGCTTGTCTGGAACCCTAAAATTCCTCTTTTTTTCACGCAGTGTTAAAGGGGAAAAATAAATCACCAAAACTTTGCATTAGGGAATAAGTTCTTTGAAGACTGAATTTGTTGGAAAACAATGTATGTTATTGTTGAAATAAGCCTACCATGTTTAAGAGTACATTTATGCACAGATACTATCAGAATAACACCCTTACTAGCTTTTGTATAATTTCACTTAAGCAGCAAGATAAAGCATTCTGAATTTTCCTTTCAATCTTTGGTAAAGTGCATATTTGTATCTTGACATACTTACTTCCTTAATCGTCAACTTCCTTTTCCCTAATTCTGAAGAACTGATTTATTGTCAATGGCACTTTAGAATCACGTTAGTAGAAAATGATTTCTGGATCCTGGAAAATTAAATCCTAAGAATGCCAACAAAAAGGTAAGCAAAACTACCCAACAGGGAAAGGACATATCATGGCTGTAATCATGAAACTGCTTTATAATCTGAAAAGTTATAGGATTATGAATTTTAATTCTACCAGTAATTCGTGTTAGAGTAATCTAACTAAGACTGTTTATTGGTTTTACATAAATCCACTTCACATTGTTCAGTGTAAACCATTTTCTGATGTTTAGAAATTTAGGAATACTGTGCATACATTACAGCCCTTTACATGTGCTATATGCATTATATTTGTGCATGCTGGAAACCTAGATTAAAAGAAAGTTAGAGCCATGAAGTTAGCCACTGAAAAGTTCTGAAAAATATATAACCTTCCTATTTCCCTAACATACTGTTGTAATTAAAATTCATCCCCATATAACAACTTTCAGATTACAGAATACATACTCGTTCTTCAGCCATTTCCTAACTTTGGGAGTTTGGTGTTGCAAGCTAATGCTCTTTTTAACATGGCCTTCATCTTCTTTAGTTTTGACAACTGAACTGAAGAATAAGATTTGTGTTGCGTACACCTTACTGACTGCAGTTTGGGTCAGGCAGGTCCAGATCTTTAGATTAACACTACCTGAGCTAATAAAGTAACGGAGCGAACCACTGTCCTTCAGGAAGTCTCATCATTACACAGATGAGTGTCAATCTTTCCCAAAGCTGTTGAGAGCAAACAAATGAAATGAGGGACCTCTGGGTTCAGTTCAAATTCTGTGGGAAACGGTTCTCTCCTGATGCCCTCTTGTGCCCAGGAGCCCTATTCGGTCACTGCTCCCAACCTGCAGATCTTTAGGTCCTGCTTTTCTTCTTACACCCTTGACTGATTCGTGATTCTACCTCTGCTCTCTGGCAGCGGCTCCCGCACGCCTGCCCTCCATCCAAGCCCCCTTTCAGCAGTCCTTTTATTTTCCAGCAGTTACTTGCAGAACTTGCCCTGCCTGAAGTCTACTTTAAAGGGGACAATTATTAGACACCGACTACTATGTACTGGATAAAAAGGAGGCAGAAATGTAAGGAGGAAGATCTTTTCCCTTCCACTTTTTTAAGTTTTGATTTTTTTATTACTTGCTTGTGACACACATTTGCAATCACTTGCATGTTTAGGAAGCAATATGCTGTGCAGACTCCAGGAGGAAGGCAAGTGGAGGACTGTATCTCTTTAAATTAAACTAAGGATGTGATTTCACGAGATTGAGGTGAACTGAAAATGGAACAAGTGGAAGTAACAGACAAGCAAATACTCAGTAAAGCTCACAATCTGAGCAGCCTTTTAGTCCCGTACCTTTTAGTGACTTAAACGAGCACTGAAAAAACCAAAATCAGCAATACAACAACTTTTAAACCAAGACAGATGTCCAGAAGTTGTACATATGGACTCAAGGAAAAAATAGAAAACAAAAGACTACAACTTGCTATTTCAAATGTTCTCATTTGTGATAAAACTTCAACCACAACAATGTTTCAGTCTAGCGTCCTACAGTGACACCACTTTCTTTACTTTTCCCTTGAGAGCAGTCCTTTAGAGCGTGGTAGAAACAGCTGTTTTCTTGAGCACTGTTTGTTCTAAGTGTTATTTGGATAATATGTGCATATTTTCTGGTACGAATCTCACAATTTAGTAAGTCTTATTATGAAGACTCTACAGAAATGTTTTTAAAGTCAGCCATGGCTTGCAGTAAATTCTAATGAGTCACCCTCTGAGCTCTTTGAAACAGTCACATTATGTAAGTTTAATCCAGTCATGCAATTCAGTCAGCATCAGACAAATTATCTCTCTAAAAAAGCAAATCAATGCATTTCCCATTTGTTGAGTAATAAACTTAAAATTACTCCAGAAAAAAAACAGAACATTCAAGAGTCAGGATAGCTCGCAAGTCCTAAAATGCCCAGGTCAGACTTGATCAGACATCCTGACTCCACGTGCATTTCCAGTGTAAAACAGTTTTTAGTTTCATGACCACCTGTCTCCTCTCTCAAACACAGTATCATGTTTTCTTCAGTCTCGGAAATACACATGCAATGTTTTCATTCTCATATGGTATTTTCATATTGTGATGACTAAATGTGCCTTTATGGATTCAGACTTTATGTATAATACAATCTCTTCCCTCTAAGGAATGCATTTCAATAATAATATTAGCCACTAGTTATATTGCATGCATTTTTTTAAAATCAAAGATCATACCCTACTGTACATATGTCAAAGAATGAGATATTTGACAAACAAACCTGGACTGCTAGGCAGTTAGCCACTGTATGCTTTGTAGCCTTCTGTTTCACTGTACAATTAACTTAGCCAAATGCATATGCTCAGAAAATCCTTCCTTGCCTGAACACTTTATGAGCACATTTTATGGTTTCAGTACCCAATTTTCAAAAGCTAATCAATCAGATTGTGAAACTAAGCCCAATTTCCTTCAATGCATTTCTTCTTGGTGAAGGTCTGTTCCATGCTAAATATAACTTTCCCAGTCATTACATTCACAGAGTTGTTCCATGGGGGAAAAACACCCCAAAATTTCACTTTTTATTTAAAATCAGTGATAAGCTATTTTCATTTCATTTTTTTCCCACTTAGAGACATGCTAATAATTTTCAGGCACAGTGCC